GTGCCTGCCGCCTCCCGCCAGGACAAGCCGGCGGGACCCCTGCTCTCCTCCCTCTCGGCCCAGCCCATCACCGGTCTCTACGCCCGGCCGGCTCCCCAAGTGGCCCAGCCGAGGTCTTTCGGCACCTCCGTGAGCCCCGTGGTCTCTGAGCCTGGGGGCAAAGTCTATTCTCCTGGGGAGCCAGACTATGGGGTGCATGAGTACCGGGAAACCTATTCGCCCTACAGCTACCAGCCGGCACCGGTGCCGGAGCCGAGGAGCTACAGCCATGCCCCAGCTGGAGCACCGATGGGCATCCTCCCGCTCAGCACCTCCTACAGCCCCGTGGGGTCTCAGCAGCTCCTCGTGTCCTCCCCGCCTTCCCCCAGCGTCCCACCACAAACCCAGATGCCACCCAAGGGACCAGAGAGCTACGAAGACCTGTCGAGGTCGGCAGAAGAGCCCTTGAATCTGGAGGGCCTGGTGGCCCACAGGGTGGCAGGTAGGACGCTTTGATTCCTTGGGGGGACGGGGGGGACTGCATGTCCCAAGAAGCCGGAGCCCGCGGGGGTGGCATGCATGGTGGAGCCAGGGATGGGAGATGTGGCAACTCCTTGTCCGTGCTGGATCTGGGCTTGGGACCGAGCCACCCGCCGTGGGGCATGCCGGGCAGAGGGGCAGCCTGTGCCCCTCTCCTTCACCGAGACTCCCCCCTTGCAGCTCGCCGTCTGCAGCAGCATCTCACAGAGGTGGGGAGAAGGGGTGGCCAAGGGGGTTGGGTCCCCCTATCCCACTTTGAGGTATGGGGCTCATCTGTCCCCTGCGGCAGGGCCACTCGCTGGGTCCTGGGGGGATTTCTCCCTTTCGGGGAGAATATGGCCGAGTTTGGGAAGATGTTTTCAGCTCTGGCTGAGGGTGTCCTGCCTGGACCCCGCCTTGGACATGATGCTCTCCCTGCCTGGAGCGTGCTCTGGTGTAAGGTCCCAGCAGAGCACTTGCCTTGTGTTTAATGTAGCTGGGCTCCTCCTTGATTTCAGCCCCTGCTTTCCCTGCAGTGTGCTGGGCTTGGTGCTTGGACCTCCTCCCTGGGCAGCCAGGGTGCTGCTGGAGTGAGGGGACCACGATGCGGGCTGGAAGCAGCCTTTCTGCCCAGGTGGCCCAGCCGTCTTGGCCCCGAGTTGGTTTGAAGCTTGACCTGGCCTTGACCGATGGTCAGGGGCTTGGGAAGGCATTTCCCAGCTCTGACAGAAGGGTTTGGTGTGATGCTTGGCTGGCTGCAGCGCCGAGCATCGGTGCTGTGGCTGGATGAAGGCGTTTGCTCCGTCCCGCAGAGGGGAAACCGCGTCCTCCGCCTCCCTGCCGTCCCATGGCTCCAGCTCGGGGGCTTTAGGGACGCAGAGGGTCCCAGCCCCCCAGGGAAGGAGGTGCCGTGGCCCTGCAGCAGGGTGGGTGCCCTCCCTCCCCGCTGCTTCGGCTGCAGTTGTTGAATTGCGGAGCAACACTTGGGAAGGGTTCGGGGTTGTGGCCAGGCTGGGGGCCAGCTCGTGATGCTGGGGCTTGGCAGCTCCCTCCCTTCCAGCTCTGCGCTCAGTCCAGAAACTCGCCCGGCATTAAAGGGAGGCGGGGGAAGAAGCTTGGCTGGAAAAATCCAACAGCACCAACCTCCCAGGCGTCGGGGCTGAGTCACCGGGGCACCAGGGCGGGGGGCAGGAGGGGTGCCACCGACGGGGAAGGGGACAGGGCTGGGTGGCAGAGGTGTGGTGGGGGCGGTTTGCATCCATCCGAACCCGACCTCAGTGATCCAGGCCGGATCCACAGAGGGACCCAGGGCTTGTGCAGAGGGTTTAAACAAACACGGATGCCCAAACTGCGCTGTATGTCTGGACTGATAAGGAGCAGATCTCCCCTCAACTATGGAGGGGAAAAAAATGGGGTGGAAAAGAGGAGAGCCCTCAGGAGAGGAGGAACAGTATTTTCTGGGGGGGAAATGGGTATTTGATGGTGTCTACCAAAAAAATCCATCCTCCCTCACCCTGGGGTCAGGTCCTCAAGGCTGGGCTGGGGTCAGTCTCATCCCCCCGCAGCTACTGGGCTTCCTGGGGAGGAGAGGCGTCCCAGGGACAGTCCCCAGTGCGTGGCCACCTGTCCCCGTTGAAGCCTGGCCGTCTGTGCCGAGGCGGGGACAGTGCAGGCGGGCGGCCTGACCTCCGTCGGGAACAAGGTGTCCCGAAGCCAGTGCCGGGAGGGGATAGCCAGTGGGGATGATGGGGCACAGATGGTTTGTTTACATTCCCTGCTGCTATAAATTGCCTCCATGTCCTGGCGCGGCAACGAAGAGCATCTCACACCTCCTCTGTGCCTGGCGGGGGATCACTCCCATTCCCGCTTCCCACTGGTGATGGTGGGGAAGAGGTGGGGTGGGGCAGCACTGGTATTCCGGCATTCCCAGCTCCTCCCTGCAGAGAGGAGCCCATCCTACCATCCTTCAAGTCCCCCCTCATCTCCCAGCGAGGCATCTGAGGTCATCCCTTCTTGTCCCAGCCCTGGCCATCCCATGATGGAGGTGATCTGCACGGTGCCACCCCTGAGGGAATGGTGATGGGGCATTTGTGGCATTGCACAAGGCCATGTGTGGTTGAGAGCTACCATTGATTTCCTATATGGGTTTAAGTGGTGCCTGGAGCCAGGTAATTTGGGTGATGGGAAAGCAGCTCCAAGCAGGGTCTGATCTCCCTCAGACCCCAAGTGACCCCGGGCTCATCTGTTGGAGCCCAACTAATATTTTCTCTTGTTTTCTCTCTCTGTCTCCCTATTGTATCTCGTGACATTTGTCCTGTCTGTCCCTTCCTCTCCCCATGGGGAACCATGTCTGTCCCCTGTGACCTCCCACCCTCCTTGCACCCCCTGTCCTGGTACGCTGGCAGAGTACAACGCCAAGCTCAGGGAACTCAACAAGAGCACCAAAGTTCCCCGTCCTCCTCTGAACCATCAACGGTCCTTCTCCTCTGGTTTGTTCATTCCACCTCCCTCCTTCCTTGTCCTTCAACCTTCCCCATCCGTATTTATCCTTCCCTCCCCTCCATTCTTCCTTCTCATCATTCATTCATTTTCTCTTCTTCTCTCTCCTCCTTCCTGCCCTCTCATCCCTTCTTCCTCCCCTATCCTTGCATGCCGAGTGCTCTGTGTGTTGCATGGATGTGGGATGGAGGGAGGCTCGGGAGACACCCCCATGCAGGCTCGATCCCCTTTCTCAGCAGGGTGATGCCCCAGACCCCACCTCAACCTCCCCCGGTGATGGGGGAGCCCCTGTCCCTGGGTACTGACTGCCCAGCCCACACTTGGTTTTATGTCTCATCCAAGCCTGGCATTGCTCTCTGGTGGGGTTTCATTGCTGGGCCAGATCTGGACCCTTGCTCCAGCCCCTTGGAGCTTTGCCCTGGCCGTGGCTCACCCCTCGGGGAGGCAAGGGCTGGAGAGCAGCTTCACAGACCTCAAATTCAGCCGGTTCCTGACCCAGCAGGGGCTCACCTGCCTCAGTCCAGGGGTTTCCCCCATGGGTCTGTCTGCAGCTGGGGGGGTAGGTGAGGGAGGGCCCCTGGCTGTGCTCGTTTTGGGGTGAAACATGGACATGCACATCAATGAAGTTCCCTGGGAGGAGGGGAGCAGTAGATGTATCTGTGCCCGGTGGGATGGGGCGAGCTGGGCTCTGGCAGACAGCGGTACAGGGCAACGTGTGCTGCTCTTCTTTGTGCTGGGAGGGAGCGAGTCTGCATCTCGCTTTTCCCTGGGCATCGTGTGTCCCTTTGTGGCTTTAACTGCTGGGTGCCACATCCCGAGGGCCATGGGATGCTCCTTTGTCCCTCTCCTCTCCACTGTGGGGGCATCACCCGGCTCTTGCCTGGCAGTAGCTCCAGCATCTCATGCCCCAAAAGCGACTGCCTCCTGGTTTGGCCCAGAAACCCGTCTCCCCAGCCGCAAAACCACCTGGATTTAAATCCCCCTTGTTTCCTCCTCCTCCGGCTGTTGGGCTCCTGCCTTTCCTCAGCCCTAGAGCTGTGTTTAATCCAAGGGCAGGACTTTGCTGGGAGACGGTTGCTGCCAGGTTAGGGAGTTAAATGGGCGGCAGAAGGGGTGGCGGTGCCAGAGGTGATGGGGGGCCAAGGATGGGAAGTGGGGCGCGGGCTGCTGTTCCCCCTCTCAACTGTGGTGGGGAACCCCACGTCCTGCAGCTGGACAGAGTGTCCTTGGGGAGCTGGTGGCAGGGACATGGCTAAGGGAGGCTGTACTTCTGCTGAGGGGGCACAGTGAGCGGGCAAAAGGAGAGTTTGTTTTCCTAGAGTAGTTTCCAGCCCATAAATCACCTGGGGGGTCGAGGGAGCGTGCTCAGAGCCTGGGTTTCCTCCAGGCTTTGCTCCGGGCGGCCCGTGAAGTTTCCCACTCTCGGCTCCCAAACAATGAGTCCCTTTTTTCCCTTCTCCTCCCTCCCCTCCCCGCAGCCCCGGCTGCTTTCCATGTCTGAGGAGTGGAGCAGCCAAAGCCCGGTGAGCTCCTGGGTGTCCTGATGGCCAGATCCAGCACCCTGCACCCGGGTGACACACAGCCCCAGGATGGAGCGGGGGGTCCCACGCTGCAGATGTGCGACGTGCACTGACAGTTGGGCTCTGGCTTCCCAAATGGAAAATGCAAAGCGAGGCAGGCGTATGTGACTTGAGGAGCCTGGTCCCTGCCTCTTCGCAGCTCTCAGTCACTGCAGCTCACTTTGGGGAGGGCCAAGGTATGCTCCTGGTGATGCTCTTGCAGTGTGCAGGACACCTCACAGTGCACAAAGTGGAGGGGTGAAAATAAACTATAAGGGTTTTTTTTTTATCCCCCTCCCCCCTCCTTTTTTTTTTTTTTGTTTTTCCCTATGCTCACAACTGAGGGCTTTGTTTCCTTAAAGCGAGGAGCAGGGAAAAAGATGTAGGGTGACCCTACAAGATGCTATCCATGGCCACCACACCTACAGAGACCCTCTCCGTCCCTCTGTCCCCACCCCAGCCTTTTTAATGGCTGTCCCCCGCGCCGGACAGCACCTGCAGAAGGGATCGGGGAGTTGTGTTTCAAAGCTGCTCTTAGTGGAATTTTCCAGGCCGCCTCCGCGGCTGGAGCCAGCCCCGTTGGCTCATGTCCCCCGCCTTGCAGCCCGGCCGCCTCTCCCCCCCTGAGCCGCGATTTTATTGTTGTTGCCATTCACTGGACTGATTATTTAGAAATGCACCCAGGCCACCTCCCTCCCTCCCTCCCGCGCTCCCAACCCTTTCCCTGCTCCTAGCCCTTTCTCCGGGGTCGGGAAAGCTCCGGTGTGGGTGCCGGAGTGGTGAAGAGGGGAGGTCAGCGGGCGTGAGGCGTGGGTCCCGCACGGAGCCCCGGGGAGTGAGGGGAAGCAGCTGATGGCTGGTTTTCCTCCGCCAGCCCGTGGGAAAGGAGTTGGTGTTTGAAAAGTGCATTTCCTGGAGCGTGATGCTGGCCTCAGGGTTTTGGGTTTTTTTTTTCTTTTCATTTTTTTTCTTTTTTTTTTTTTCCCCTCCATGTGCTGGGCCAAAGGGAGCATGAGCACTCCCCAGCTTTGCGGGAAAGATGGAGGAGATGGTGCTGTCACCTCTGCTAATAGGGCTGAGACTGAGGGTTACCCCGCTGCCGTGTGGGTCCCGTGGGGCTCTGAGCTGCGCCTGTGATGCTCTGTGCAGTTCCCCTGCACGGAACCCAGCACCATTGTCCCTGAGCCCTAATTAACCTCTTCGTCAGGCAAGATGGAGCGGAGAGTGTGTTTGGGCCCTGCTGGGTGCTGGGAGAGGTTGCACCCCTCATCCCAGCCCCGCAAGTGCCCCTTGCCCTGTGCTGGCTTTGTCCCTGTTCCTGGGCTTTCTCCCAGCCCACTGGGATCACCAGTGGGATCTACCCAGCCTCCAACACCCATTCTCCCATGGTGACTTGCTCACTCCCTTCTTCTTCCCAGGGTCTCGGAGCCCCTCGGTGCTCCCCAGGCTGAGAGCACTGGTGACTCGTAGTGCTGGGGTGTAGGAGGGGATCTGGGGGGAGACAGTGTGGAGACGCCAATCTCCCCTGGCAGGAAAATGTCATGCTGAGGGAAGGAGATCAGCAGTGGTTTGTTGGGGTTCCCTGCACCACCCCTCTGGCTGGGGTCCTTCCTCCCACCGCGGTGCTCCCATTACTTTGGGGACTCACAAAAACAGGCTTTTTCCTCTGCTGTGGTTGGAGCCACATCCAGCTGTGGGAGCAGGGCTGCAGCCGAATGCGGCTGCCCTGGTGCTGGGGGATTTGGCCCTTTCCCACCGTGATGCCGTTGGGAGGTGCTGGTCCTCCCCAGTTCTGTGGGGCAGGGGCTGGCTGGGCTGCTCGCAGGATGCTTGTGCACCCGCTGCCAGGGGATGCTGTCCCCAAGCGGAAGACTCAAAGTGCTTTGGCTGGCTAATGCAGTGATCCAGCCACTAGCCACAACCCTGTCTTGCTTTTTTGTTTGGCCCAGGGCCAGTGCTGTAGGGTGTATCTGCACCAGCTCAATGCTGACCGTGCTGGTCCAGGGTTAGATGCAGGTGAGTGCTGAAGCTGCCATCTCTGCCAAGCAGAGCCCCCTCTGCAGCACACGGCCCCGGTGAGACCTCTCAGATCAGCCCCAGAGCATCTCCTGCTGGTTCCCATCTCAGCCAGCACGTCCTCACCCATCTCCCACCCTGTGCTTGCCCGGCAGGGGTGCAGTCCCGGGAGAAGCCCCCAGAGGAGATTGCTGTCCCTGCCCGCAAGCGGACCCCCAGCGACAGCCACTATGAGAAGAGCTCGCCGGAGCCCGGCTCGCCCCGCAGCCCCACTGTCCTCTCGCCCGAGGTGGTCAGCACCATCGCGGCCAACCCTGGAGGGAGGCCCAAAGAGGTGTGCTGGGGCTCTGCGGGGTGCCGGGGGGGCTGTCGGGGTGCAACCACCTCCAGGGAGGGAGAAGGCTTGGAGGGGGGTATGGGACTTTTGGCATCCATGGCACTCTGGAGGGTTGAGGATTAATGATGCTTTTTGTGGTGGTGGTGTCCTGGAGGTTTGCACCCATTGTAGGGACTAACCCTGCCTCCTGCTCTCCCCTAGCCTCACCTCCACAGCTACAAGGAAGCCTTCGAAGAGATGGAGGGTGCCTCCCCCACCAGCCCACCCTCCAGCGGCGGTGAGATTTCTCCCCCCACCCCAGCCTTCCCCGTCTCGCCACAAACCCCTTACTCCAACTCCTGTAAGTGCTGCGGCTCCGGGAGGCGGAGGGGCTCGGTGGGTGGCTCTCGGCAAGCCAGAAATTTGCCAAGGGTCAGACAGCTCCGGGCTCCAGACACCCACTGCCACGTTAATCAGGCTTCCTCTCCATCCTCCTCTCTTCTCTGCATCCCACCTCTCCACGCTGCCATCAGCATCCCACTGCCATCAGCATTCCACTCTCAGCACCCTCCTGTCAGCTTTTGCCCACCTTCCCCTTGCTGGGATGTTTCTCTGATGGGATTCCGAGGCGGGATAAGGAGAGGGACAGGGCCCAAAAGACAGCGTCCTTTCAGCCCATCCTGGTCCTGCACCTCCCCATCTTTCCTACTGGCATGGCAAGAAGGGCAGCGAGGCTGCGGTAGAAGGCGAGCAGGGGGGAGGCAGGAGGGACTGAAGACAGGGAGGGGGTTTGGGGCAGACCCTCGCATGTTCTGCCACTTCTCACTGACTGTTTCCAGGGCAGGAGGTGGAAAAGGCTGGGAGGTGCCAACCCTTTGCATGCAGCCTGTCTCTGCTCCTCTGGCACAGCATGCCTCCCTTCTGACTAACCCCGACTGCGCAGTCGCGGTGGTTTTGTGTGGACCGGGTTTGTGTGACCAGTTTGAGTGATGAACCCTGATAAGCAGCCTCACGTCGGCGCAGCACGACTCGGGCTGGACCAGTGCAACGGAGCAGCCGGTCAACTGGGAAACCCATCAAAAAGACGGCAGCCCCCGCCTCTTTACCCCCCCCCAATCACTTTTGTAGGCTGGATGCTGAGGGATGCTCAAGGGCTGGGTGTGCTCAGCCTGGCTGCAGCCCCCTCTGATGCCATGTCCTGGTCACGATGGGGCCGCCTGACCCCTGTAGCTCAGCCCATGGGGCTGGAGGCTGTTTCCTCCTGCACTGTTGCAGTTCCTCCCCTGCAACCCACTGGTGTTTGAGCCCTGTCTCATGGGATGCAGTGACTAGAGTGTGGGAGCGTCCCTGGGGTATTTGGCAGCTTGGAAATGGCCCCGTTGTTCTGGGGACCCAGAGAGCTCGGCCCTGGGGCAGCAGCTCCTTGGCAGTGGGACAGTGGCTCGTTCTGGGGGATGAGTCACTTGCAGAGAGGTGACAGGAACAGCCTGGCTGAGGATGCGGCTCGGAGGCAGCGTTTCTTAGCCAGCGCCAGCTGGGGAGGCCTGGGAAGTCTGAAGCTGCAGCTCGAAGGCTTTGCCAAAGTGCCCCCCGGGGGGATACAGGAGCAATTCCCCTCCACAGGGAGACGGCAGTCCCGGGGGAATTCCCGGCCCCGGGAGGACCCCGCTGTTTGTCAGCCAACGGAGGCGTGAGCTGACATCGTGGCTTGCAGCCGACCAGATTTGGGGAAATCAGACACCCGCCGGGGAAGGCGCTGCCGTCTCGGTTTCCCAGGGACTCGGCTGCTCGGCTGCGTCAGTCCCAGGCTGCTGGGGGGCACATGGTCTCGGGGTGAAGGTCTGGCTTTCCTCTGGAGCTCCCACCACCCGCCGCCTCCCGGCCTCGCCGCCGTCCCTGCGCCCATGCTGCCAGCTGGGGACATACAAATGCTGATGGAGGGATGTGCCCTCTGGTCCTTCTTGCTGGAGCTGATACCCAGAGGTCTCCCCCAGGGAGATGCAACATCAGGGAGATGGATCAAACCCGGGGTGCAGGAGGGAAGAGGCGCAGTTGCCCTGGGGGGGTGCGCTCTGCTCCATGAAACCCTGCTGCCTCGAACTGCCGGTGCATCCATACCATAGCCATATATACATACTCCTGGTATGTACGTATGGACCCAGAGGTACAGACCTCATGTGTGCATTGCCGCCCCGTGGGGAACATGCTCTGTGTGAACATCCTCACCTGCCCGTTGAGCTGGTCTGGAGGGCATGGGGGATTTTGGCAGTCCTGCTGCCCTTTTCGTGGGGGTGATGAGCTGCTCTGGGACAGCCTGGTCCCAGCTCAGCCAGGCACGGAGATCGGCGGGGGGGTGTTAAGGTTTGGGAACGCTGGATTGGGGGGCAGCTGCTTGCACAGGGGCAGTGAAAGAGGCTTCATGCCTATGGTGGGACCATTCCCTTGTGGGGACACTGCTGGGAGATGGGGTCAGGGCGCCCCCCGAGTGGGAATTGCCCCCTTTCTTCACCCTGCCCCGCAATGGGGCAGACTGCTTGTTCCTGGGCACCTCCCACCCTGTGCGCATCCCCGAATGGAGAGGGGGATCGGTGCCCTTCCCTTGGGGGTGCTGCTTCACACAAGGGCGTCTCTTCTTCCTGGCAGCGCCCGATTGCAGCTGGTGGGTGGGATGTGTCATGGAGGCTCTGAACCCCTGGGCAGTGTCAGCTCCAGTCTTTCTGAAGCTTCACCTCCCACCCCTCCACTAACGCTCTTGTGTCCCCTGTGCTGACAGTGCGTTCTCCTCCCGGCCTGGCCAAGACCCCGCTCTCAGCACTGGGGCTGAAACCCCACAACCCGGCCGAGATCCTGCTGCACCCAGTGGGAGGTGAGTGCGGGCACAGGGGCTGCAGGTGGGTTTTTTTTGGGGGTGGCATCCATGAGGATATCCCTGGAAGGGTCCCCTGGCTGGAGAAGGCACTTCTGTCTCCTTTTTGGGGCCAGGTGGCCCTGGGGTCCTTGTCACCTCCTGTGGGGACTCTGGGACTGTGTGAAGGTGAGGGATGTTGGTGCTGCCCTGGGTGGCTCAGCCCTGCAGGGTCTTTAGTGGTGGAGGCTGAAAAACCCCGGGGTCTTGCCTCCTGCCCAGCCCCATGTTCTTCCCTCCCTCACCCCCTTCATCGCTTCTCCTTCCCAGCTGGAGAGGGTTTGCTCTCCGAGAGCCGAGCCTGTCAGCTGGAACAGTATCCAGAGCTCTCTCCATCCTGGAGAGTGGTCCCCGGGTGCAAAGACACTGCTGTCCTGGGGACGTGTCCCAGAGCTGCCTGCCAATCCAGACCTCGCTTCTCCCCAGCACCCGGGGCCCCTTCCTGGGCCATCTCAGGGCTGAGTGTCACCTCCCCAAAACCCAGCTGAGCCTGGGGGGAATGACATGGCTGAGCCCACCCAAGCAGGACCCTTCTTGCTCTGCCCCCAAGGGTGAGCTGATGCATTTTTGGTGCTTGCAGGGCTTCTTGGAGCAGCATTTTGTGGTGGCTCCCTGCTGGGCTGTTCCCTCTTCCCCACCCAAAACCAGCCTCCTGGGTTTTGGACATCATCTCTGGGATGCCCAGGTGGACCCTGGAGGTGTCCGAGGCTGGGGTTCTGGTTTGGGGTGCAGTGTCGGGGAGGTGTGGGGCTCTCCTTTGCGCTCTGTGTGCCCCTGTCTAAGCAAGGAAAGCTGCTTAACTCAGATTTCTCTTTCTGTCTCACACTTCTCTTCCTCCTCTTGCCTTTCCCATCGCTCCCCTGCCCCTCCGTCTCTCAGAGCTAGAAGGGGAGGCGGGCGGTGACTCTGAAGAAGGTAAGAAAGGCTTTTCTTTCTCTCTCTCTCTCCCCCCTGCTCATCCCCACTGTCAGAGCTGTCTCTCAGAGCAGGCTCCGGCTGTCAGCACCAGCAGCCTTCCCTCGTGCTGGCCCCCAGGGATGTAGGAGCCTGAGTCTTGCCCATTCTCATCCCTTCTGAGGAGGGGAACGTCATGCCTTACATCATGGTTGGATTCCCTGATGTCCAAATTGGAGCTGGAGGTCTGTCACATTGGGTGGCGATAGTCTATAGGAGCTGAGAGCTCTTTGTCAGTGCGTGGCATCCTTACTGGTGGCATGCTGGGGATGCTGGCACATCACGGGCAGCTTTGGATGAGCCTGGTGGGGGGCTGGGAGCAGCAGCCCTGGTTTTGGGCTCCTGCCCTCCCCTTCTGGCTTTTCCGCTGCTGTTCGGAGCAAAAATAAACCAAAGTGCAGCACAAAAGGTCACCAGGCGCAGAGGCCACCAATGTGCTGCCGGCTCAGCCGTCCAGGCAGCGGCACAGCGCCGGCAGCCGGTGTGTGTCTTCTGCTGGCTGGGAGGCCAAATTCACCCTGCCTCTCCCATCCCGGGGCTGCGCCTCTCCCGGGATGCTGAGGACTGGGCTGAGCTGGGACGGCAACTAGGGGGTGGCTCTGCTGACGGTGGGGGCACTGGAGGCTCTGGGGTGGCATGTCTTCTTGGGGGATGGAGGCTTTGGGAGTGGCTGCGATTCCCTGGAGTGCTGCCTGCTATCTAATGGTTGTTGGGTGGTTTTGCTTTCTTCTTTAATGAAACTTTGGGCCCTCGGGGCCGGGATGGGGAACTGTATGTTCAAGATGTGTTTTGGGGAGAGGATGTGTCTTCTCGGCGAGTTTGCAATGCTCACCGTGGCCCCGGAAGCCATCGGCATTTCTCCCCGGGAGTTCCTCAAAATGCACGTAGCCCAAATCTGAACATTGTGTAATACTGGAGAAAGTGTTTGCTTGAAGAAAATGTGCTTCCAGAGCTGATTTTTCAGTGATAGCTTCTTGGGTACATTAAAGAAAGAAAAGCTGGGATAAAACTAGGCTTTTCCCTCTGAAGTCTCCCCCAACTTTACCATTTCTGTCCAGTTTTAAGTTTCCAAAGACCCAAACATTCCCTCTCCTTCCCACCAAACCCCAAAGAGCTCAGTCTGTGCTACTTCTCTTTTCCCATGGTAGTCCAGCTGCTTGCATGATGGTTGGCCCAGAGCAAGGACATCCAGTGGCCCCGCGCTGGGTGGACTGAGTGGCCACCACCAGCCTGCTTTTGTCCTTCTTTATCCTCTTGGATTATGTGATCATAGAATCACAGAATAGTTTGTGTTGGAAGGGACCCTTAAAGGTCATCTAGTCCAACCTCCCCTGCAATCAGCAGGGACATCTTCAACTAGATCAGGTTGCCCAGAGCTCTGTCCCAACCTGACCTTGAGTGTTTCCAGGGATGGGGCATCTACCACCTCTCTGGGCAACCTGTGCCAGTGTTTCACCACCCTCATCATAAAAAATTTCCTCCTTATATCTAGTCAAAATCTTCCCTCTTTTAGTTTAAAGCCATTACCCCTTATCCTATCCCAATGGGCCCTGCTAAAAAGTTTGCCCCCGTCTTTCTTGTAGGCCCCCTTTAAGTACTGGAGAGCTGCTATAAGGTCTCCCTGGAGCCTTCTCTTCTCCAGGCTGAACAACCCCAACTCTCTCAACCTGTCCTTTAGGAGAGGTGTTCCAGCCCCTGATCGTTTCTGTGGCCCTCCTTTGGACCCGCTCCAAAAGGTCCCTATCTTTCCTGTGCTGAAGGCTCCAGAGCTGAACCTGGTACTCCAGATGGGGTCTCACCAGAGCAGTGATGGGTTTAGGGGGGGTTGAATCTGCAGTCCTGAGCAGGGACGGGTTTTTTGGCTTAACGAAGCTTTGGCTTAGCACCCTCTGCACCCAGCCGCACATTCCATGAGGATCCCTGCCCCACCAGGCTCTGCTCACCTGCTTCTGGGGCTGGGGGATGCTCTGGCAGTGCAGGACCTTGGGGTCTGGCTGCCACCTCCGAGGAGGCTTTAAAACAGCTCAACGCAGTGGCAGCACTGGGTGTTTCTGGCCAGAGTGTAGCCCTGCCTGGGTTCAGTGTTCCCAAATGACTGCCCACCCCCCAGTGACTCAAGGCTTCTCTATTCTCCCACCGTCTTCCCGTCTTCAGAGCCTCTTCCAAGAAAACACTAGGAGGCAAAAAAATTCCCCACCTTTTTTTTTTTTTCTTTCTTTTTTTTCCCCTTGTTGAACCAAATGACTCAAACTCATGCCCATGGTCACATACCTGGCTGTGGCACATGTAGGCTGTCCCCCGTCCCCAAGCCCTGGTCTCCTGCCTCGCTTCAGCCCCCACCTTTGCGGGAGGGGCTGGCGTTTTCGCAGCCGTTTGGTCTTAACCTCTTGCAGGCTGACTCATATGTACTGCTGGCTAATTTTAGTCTGGGGTGGGGAGCCGGGGGGAGAAAAGTGAGTAGCTGTGAAATTAATTTAATTACTTAAGCGGCGATGAGTTTCTTGCAGCTGCCCTGGGTTTCCCCCTCAGCAGTGCCTCGTCCCTGTCACTCGGAGCCTTGTCTCCTGCCTCGGATGCTGGTACCCAGCTCATGTGGAGGACCTCGGTCTGGTTTTGGCCCAGATCTTTCCTGGGGTGGTTAAGCAGGGTTGGGCAGGGAGATCAGCCCGAGGGATGGACTACTCCTCCCATGTCTGCAGGCGGACAGGGCACGGAGACACTGGAGGAGAAGGAGGGTGACCTGTGATAGTCTTTTTCCTTGCAACGCCCTGGTCCGGCACCGAACACGGACCTGTGCATTGGCATTGGTGTCTGCGAGTGGGCTGGCTTGCCAGCAGGCTTAGCCAGATCCGGGCTGTTATGACTGGTAATAATAATAATGTTTGTCATGCTAATTACTACTGCGGAGCCGCCTCAGGCACGGTCAGCCTGGAGCCAGGGACCTGCAAGGATGCCCGGCCCATAGAGTTTGATGCCAGCCGGGTCTCGCTTAGGGTGTTGTGCCCCAGCATGGAGGCAGTCGGTGGCACGTGCCAGCCGAAGTGTGACACGGCTGCGGGGGCACAGGGGGATGGGGCTGAAGCTGCAGCCCCTTCATCCAGCGTGGCTTTTGGGGGGCTGCAGGGGCTATCGTAGGGATGAGGACCAGCCTGGACGGAGCCAGGAGGCAGAGGGGAAAGGGAGGAGGGAGGGCTGGGTCTGGTGGCTGCTGTGGCTGGTGACAGGCAACTCAGCCCCCTGCTCCTGGCACGGGACAGCTTGGCAGCTCCAAAGGAAAATTGCTTTTCTTGGTCGTGCTCATGGGCTCTGGTTTCAAGCCGGGCTGGGAGTGAGAGTGTTGGATACGGCAGTGGAAATAGCTGGAGCTGCTTTCTGGTCTGCTGGTGGAGATGGCTGGCAGAGGTGGGCCGCATGGGGCAGGGACTGCTGGGCATCATCGTCAGACCCGTGTGAGTCAGCGCAGGCTGGGCAGGGGGACTGGCTCTATTTTTAGGGGTCCAAGGATGAGCAGGGAGCACGATGCGTGCTGTGTGGCATCCCGGGTGGGGAGGGACGCTGACTCAGAGCAGGGTGGAGGGGCCATGGAGCGGGAAGGGACTGTGGTCCCATGTGCTCCGGGTTCTTCGGGAAAAGGGGTGGGCATGACCCTCTTCCCTGTGCCCTGGCCAGGCTCTTTAGCATGCCTTGGAGTAACCTAAATGTCCAGATGAGCTAGATGTGTTTTTGCACAATCCCTGGTATGGGGGAAGAGGGATGGGAGAAATGTGCAGCTGGAGGAGCTCAGCTCAAGCACTTTCACTGGCTGAAACAGGGATACAAGGAAGGGCATGGCCCCCTTCCCATGGGAGCAGTGGGCTCATCCATTTCCCCTTCTCTTTTCTCGCAGAGCCCAGGAGCTATGTCGAATCGGTGGCCCGCACGGCCACGACAGGCAGGGGAGGGACCTTGCCCGCCACCCAGCCCGGGGGCCCAGAGGTGCCTGCCAGGAACGGCACCTTCGCCAACTCCTTCACCGCCCCCAGTCCCGTCTCCACCAGCAGCCCCATTCACAGCGTGGACGGGTAAGGCAGTGGGTGCAGGTCCCGGGGGCTGGTGGGGCCGGGGCTGAACCCTGTCTGGTGCACAGGCTCGCTCCCGCTTTGAAATTGCCTTTGCAAGGACCCCCATCTCCCCATGCAGGGTTTAGGGGTCCTGGCTAACCATGCAGCTTACTGCCCTGAGGACACAAAGCTGGGTCACTGGTGGTCACTGGTTGTCACTGTTCCTCAGCAGCATCTCACCGGGAACCTGGCCCTTAGGGCAGGGGGAGGGATGGGGTCTGTGCTAACCCCTAGTCCTGGGTTGGGCTAAGCATCGGTGCCTTGTGGTGCAATGGAGCCATCATCCCTGTCCCCTCTCCACCCTGCCCATGGGGTGTCCTGCACCAGCTCACCTGGCAAGGATGGAAGGGAGGGACGAAACAGGCGTTTTACTGGAGGGAGAGCTAGAAAAAGGCTCTGTCTCCCAGAAAGCCGTATTTTGAGAAGGAATTGGGATGCATGGGGGAACTAAAGCTGCCTCCAGTTGCTTTCATGCAGCTGGCAGGACACATCCCACTGTTGCCTCTGAGCACCCAAGCAGCTTGCTGGCGCCGTGCCTCAGTTTCCCTGTGGCCCACTCACAGGAGGGTACCAGCCAGC